GAATTCAGCCCGGCCCTGCCGCCACCCGGCCACCACCACAACTACCGACACCATGGACGACATTCGCAAAAACCTCCCCGTCTCCATGATCATGGCCGCCTTTACCGGCATCGCCTGGTACATTGGAATTGAGATCAACGCCTCCCTCTTTCTGCTCTTCAAGCGTCGCCGTGGCCTCTATTTCTGGTCATGTGCCCTCACCTCTTGGGGTGTAATACTCCAGCCCGTCTTCATCATTCTCGCCGACTTTGGCGTCTGGCGTGACCCTGTGCCCTCCATCACCATGATTTACCTCACCTGGCTCATCATGGTCATTCCTCAGAGCTGGGTCCTCTACTCCCGCCTGCATCTGCTCATGCACACCGACAGCGTTCTGCAAATCATCAAATACGTCTTGATTTTCAATTCAATTGTCTTTTCAATACCGACAATGGTCATTGGCACCATCGCTGTAAGTCTCTTCTCCCCTTGCCCAATGGTAATCATCTCTTACTGCAGACACCCGCTCACACACCCTCCAGCAAGCAACCACCATCAACCCTAACCTCGCCTCCTTCAACCTCGTCTGGGACCGCGTCCAGCTCGTCGTCTACTTTGTCCAGGAAACCGCCCTTAGCATCCTCTACATCTTCCAAACCCAGAAATATCTCAAAGGCCGCGCCCCCCTCCGCCAGCGCGCCTTTTCCACGCCCTCCACCATCCACACCGGCGCACGCCAGACCAGTCAAGAGAGCGCCGTCCTCTGGCAGCTCATCTGGGCCAATATCCTCATCATCGCCCTCGACGTCGCCCTCCTGGGCATTCAGTGCGCCAACCTCTTTCACCTCCAGGGCGCCTTTAAGCCCTGCGTGTACGGCGTCAAGCTCAAGCTCGAGTTTGTCATCCTCAACCGCCTCATCAACACCGTCCGCCAGCCCACTAGCGACGTCTTTTACTCGGGCAGCGCTGGTGTCGGGGGCGGGCTCGGCGGCACAGGAGGAGGTGGTTTCGCGCCCGGCCTCGACGGTAGCGGCGGCAGTAGCAGCAATCATGGCCGCGTCAGCGCAGGCCGCCGTGGCAGCAGTCTCTGGCAAAAGACGGAGCCTGGCGAAGATATCAACGACGTGCAGCTCGTTCAGAGCCATAGCCGCAGCGCCAACCGGGAACACAGCGTCGGAAGCGAAACCCCCATCTACCGCGGGGCCGAACCTGTATAACTCTGATTCGCATCCAAACGATGGGCCGATTTCTTCTTCCC